AAGTACGAGCTTTTACTGACATTTTAAAGAACACCCCCAAGGATCGGAAGAATCTGAGTGTATATATAGGTGATTCAGTTGGTGACTTGCTGTGCTTGCTCGAAGCTGACGTTGGTATCGTTATAGGCTCGAGCTCGAGTCTGAGAAGAGTGGGAAGTTGTTTTGGAGTTTCATTTGTACCTTTGTTTCCAGGTGTCGTTGACAAACAGAAACAGTTGACCGAAGGTAGGTCTTGTAGTTGGAAGGGTCTCTCTGGTGTCTTATATACTGTATCTAGTTGGGCCGAGATTCATGCTTTTATTCTGGGCTCATAGGAAATACCCTTTTAATAGTACATCTGGATGATTTGGAGAGATGTTCATATAGTAGGAGTGATACCTTTGTGGCTCTTTTTTGCCCCGGGCCACAAGTCGAGCTTTATGCTGCATATTTTTGTATAGTTTATGACTCGCATATCCAAACTCACTGTATAATTTACCATACGAGACAACTTTTCGCATATTATGTTATCAAATATGTAAATCGAACGTCGTACATTTTATGTTATGCGATATACTTTCGCAGTTTGCGGTTCGTATATTCAAATAGAACGTCGCATATTAATCCGATAACTCTTATTAAATTTATTTTCATTTATTTGATATTTAAGTTGATTGATTGAGTAATTGGTGAGTCGAAAAATTGAAGTATCGTTAGATTTTTTTTTTTATTATTGCATAGGATAACAAATATAAAAACAATTAAATATAGAAATATATTAGAAAGTTTATAATAAAATAATAAGAAAGTTAGTTAAATTTATTTGTGTTTATATTTTAATTAAATATTTAAAATATAAACATTTTTTAATCGAACTCACAAGTACTATACAATACAAGTATTTGTGGCCCCATATAGTAATGGGCACAGAAGAGGTTGAAAGCCCATTTCCCTATGGAAGGTGCAGATGTAACTTCTGCTACCCCATTTCACATGGTTTCCCAACACCTTTTCAACTTTTAGTGTTGTTTATTGATGATTATCAAACACATGATACTTATCACATATTCAAACAAATACTGAATACATTTTGTTTGCACTTATTTGTTTATTTTTTATTTTATTTTTAAAATAATAAAAGTTTAAACGGGCCAGATGGGCTGCATGTTCAGAAGCTTTATTATTATGGTGGTGGGGTGGATGCACACACAATAATAATTGATCATATTTTATTTATGGATTAATGATGTTATTTAAAAAAAATATATATATATATTAAAATGGAGAAACAAAAGATTCTTCATTGTTGGATGATTCTTAAGTTGCAACAAATATCCCTTTGGCACTAACATGCACGGATTCTTTTGACACCCTTTTTGATCATGTTCGAGAGCTAGCCTATATTCATGCAACTCCAACAAGAATCAAATTTATTTGATTATTTAACCACATGAGTAATATTTGAAAGAGAAAAGAAAGTACTAGCTATATATTAGGGTCACGTTCCGATGAGAAAGATTCTCAGTAAAAGAAATAAGAATATAGCGTAACAATTATATCGAATGATGTAATGGTTAAAAATGTCAAAATTATAACTTGGTAATGTGGCAATTTTCTTCACCCGAACAGTGTGACCCATGCCACCACATTATACCCACTCACACGTGGGCCCCACCTGACACATCACATCTCTCTCATTCTCTCCCTCTGTCTCTCTCTCTCTCACACACACAAACACATGTCACGTCACCATCTACAGACACAAACACACGTCACCATCCACACACACAAACACATGCACATACACTGATACACACACAACACACGCATGCACACACACACACACACATCACCAGGCAGTCACACATTCACACACATGACACTTGCCCGTTTCTGCCGATCTTCCTGCAGGCGGCCGACCAAGCGCCACCCACAATCATCGTTCTGCCCCCACCGCCAACGAGCATCTACCACCATCCTCCACGACCAACCCGACCTCTGCTTCTTCACTATCGAGGCGGCGACGCCATCTTCACTGCCAAGGATGTCCTCTTCGACACCCTCAACAACATCATATGCACGGTGAAGCTCCGCCTCCGACCAAGCCTGAAGTGTTGGTTCACGAAATGGACGGTGAAAGTGGAGCTTCAAGCTCCGCCATTAACGGCCAAATAAATAAATTATTAAATAAACTTGGAGAGGCGGTGGCCCCAGACTTCACCGGCGGTGGTGGAGGGGGCGACGACTTCGGAAGAGAAGGCCTCCGACCAGCAGCGGCTGAAATTTGGAGATTAGGATTTTTTTTAAAAAAAAATTGATAAATTATAGGTACTCGATTGCAAATTGATGGATGTTGATTATATTTCAATTTAGTTCTTGTGTCAAATATGTAATTTTTAAAAAAGTTTAATAAATGTGCATTAACGATAAAATAAAATACATAACATATTGTGTATATTCACATTAAATACAAATGCGATGAGAGCTCACAACAGTACTGAGCAGAATGCATATTAATGACTGACAAATTGCACAATTGCGACCAAAATCGAGTGAAAGAAATTTTGGTTTGAATTTTTATATGTCGGCTCTATATATGTTTTTAATTTTAAAATTCCAATTCTCGGTTAAATGTCGACTTTATTTTTTAAAATAACCAAACCAACCGAGCAATATAGACAAATATATATATATATATATATATATATATATATGGTATTCTCAACCAAAAAAAATATATAAAATATTAAATAAAAGATATTTAATATTAAATATATTTTTCGTAATATACATGATAGTATATTTCAATTGTTTATATGAATTCAGTTTACTTATGAAATAAGCTAATTATTTCAGTTCGGTTTAAGTTTGATTTGAGATAAATTATTAAAAATGAGTGCGCTAAGTAAAAGTGAACATTATTGTTTTTCAATGAATAATAATATAAAATATTAAATAAAAATTTATAAATACTAAATATTTTTTATAATATAAAATAATTGACAAAATGAATAATAATTTTAATTGAAATACAAATTATTAAAGTTGTTTAAAATTTAAGTGCACAAAAAATACCACTCGGAAAATTGCACAATAATGACAGACTAAATGCACATTAATGTCTTTGAGATTGCACATTATCATAACATTGTGCGCGTTATTACATTATATATTTTCATATTAAATAATGAGAATTTTATTTGATGCTATGGTGCATTTTATATTGCAGGTGTGCCAAGATCGAAAAAAAAAGACTGCACCCGACCAAAAGAAAAAAAAATGGCTCCAGTATTTTATATGTGATTCGGTTAACCACTTTTTTGTTATAATTCTGAATATTTCGGTTCGATTTGGCTTTATTTTCTTACAATAATTGAAATAACCAACGATCGAACTATCTAAAAAATATATTAAATTATTAATAAATTACAATGCTCTGAACAGTATTGTGCAACGAACTGAACATTAATGTGAAGTAAACATTAAAGTGTCATGCAGTAAACAATATTGTGCAATTATTATAAATATAATAAATTACAGGTTTAACCTATGAACTAAATTGTAATATATCAAAACTTTAAAAATCACATCAAGTTGGTTGTGATTAAGTTAAATTGCATTAATGTCAATCAAACATATTGTGGCAATCTCGTAACTAAGTGGTCATATTGTGGTCAAATATAGACATTTGACCAGTTAGTAAGAGTATTTTGATCATTAACAACACCTAGTGGACCCCACCCCAACACTAATCCTAACATCACTCTCTCTGACAATCACACACAACATACACACACACACACCCCCTCGCCTCGTCTCGCCTCCGCCGTCAACAGCAACCGTCAGTCAACAGATCACAACAGTCTCGCCTCACCTCCGCCATCTGCCTTGCTTTGCCTGGTCTCCAGCGTATTCATCCATGCAACCAGCCCGCCGTTGCCACCAGCCACGCCACTAACGTCGTCGCCGACAACAGCCCCGCCGTCGCCATAGACCACCACCACCGCAACCAGCTCACGAC